GGAACGCACTCTGTGCAAAATTAGAAGTTTTGCAGAACTTGCTTTGCTCTATCGAAAAAAAATCCCATTGCTTGTTTTAAGGGTCAAGAGAAGTAGGAGTTATTGGGTTGAAAAGTGAAAACGGACGGAACTTATAGGCAGTGTCCCGTCAAATTTTGCATTACCATCTTTTTTTGCATGTTTTGGGTCCCGACCCGTAGATCCCGAACTTGAACTTTGTAACGGATAAAAAGACCTTTTTTGGGGCGTTTACCCAATTTCCAAAAGGCAGCTCGGACGAGAATTTCAATAAAAAGTTGGGAGTCCCGGGAACAGAAATCCTGCTGCCTGTAATTTTTGCTTTGGATAGCATGCAAAATGCGGGGGAGCGGTCGTGGGGTACTGCGCCGAACGGTAAGGGAAGGCGTTTGAGCGTGCCGGTTTAAGGGCTATTTTCTCGGCCCAGGGGGAACATCAACCAGCCACTGTGAATTGATATCATTGGGATCCAGGAACTCCACCATAGCAATATCCCCCAGGGCGCAAACCTGCCGGAACACTGCCTTTATGGAGCAACCTAATATAACATTTGATTCAACTGGCTTGACTTCGGCAAGGCGGGGCTTTGTGACGTAACTAAGGCCGCTCGCGCCCGCAACGCACCTGCGTCTCTCTCGCGCGGGTGCTCTCTGATCACTAGCTAGCCTTAAGTAAGTCATGGAGCCCCGCCTTAGCGAAGCCAAGCCAGTTGAATTAAATGGTATCTATTCTATGCACATCAGCTCCAAAATGGCATACATATTTCAGGAAAAACGCATTTGCATAAACACAGTCGACCCCGATCCGGTATGGATCAGCAAAAGAAGACGACGAAGATGAAGAAAAACATAGAAGTTCAAAATCTCATCGCATATCTGCTTCACTTCTTTACGCCTTTTTGCATAAGGTCTTAATTCCATAGCTACTCTTGTGCTCATGCGTTCAATTTCTACACTCCTACTACTTGAAGAACTGCGGTCACTTGACACATTACTTGATTTAATTGTGCAGAAATGTTATAAAAAGTTTTCAATAAACATCCCAATGAACACTAAGAAGTACAGGCCCCGTAAAATTTAATTGCCCACGCGTCGCTTTGAACACCAACACGCGGCGCTGCTGCAAGCGTTTGGTTCCGAAGCGCTACAGGATTTTTGCGAGCGACAGTGAGCGCGCACCCTTTCCACACATATTTTTTCAAACTTTTGAAGGGAGCTTTCGTCAAGATATACCTTGCATCGACGAGAATAATATGAAACTTAAAAAAGATTTCTTGGAATATAGTGAACGCCGACGGTCGTTCGCGACGACCGCTCGCTTGCGCTGGTGTTCAAGGCACGGCGCGGGCAATTAGGTTTTACGGCGCCTATATATATATATATACTCGAAACATGGGTATGCAATGGGTTCAAACAATTCTCAAGGGAATAGTGATAAGCGCAAGTTGCGCCGTAGTCAAATATCACAACGTCGAGTCTTGCGCTAAAGCTCAGATTTTTTCCTGGTCTGCATGTATGCAGACCGGGAGAATAAGTTGTCTCGGGCAGTAACTTTCCGATCGAAATGCTGGTGTCTGGATTACCCGCGACAGAACGATTAAGTCCCGCAGTCATTCTGTCGCTGCATAAGTTTTCTATGCGCGCGAGTTAACCAGGAATGTCTGAGCTAGAGTGGTTTTCTTATTTTAGCAACAAAATGGGCAAGACCACTTGAGCAACAACTTTGTCTGGATTGGAACTACTAGGTTTATCGTGCACAAAGAGATATATGACGTGCTGATTACGAAAACGACACTCATATTGTATAAAGGGACTTTCTTGTGAGTTACGGTAGGTGCACAGTAAGTGGTCAAATCGCGATTTTGGATGGAATTTGGTTTATGGGGATCATTCGAGTGCTGATCACGATTGTCTGACCTTTCTGAACCAAGGTTTTGTTGGTCACGGAAGAATCGCTTCACAACCCTTAAACTTTGACTACGGAGTTGTTTCACGATAAACGATGCGCTTTCTTCTCGGGATGGTTATACGGTAGATGGGTCAAAACTACTAAAGACTTTGCCCAGAGGGTCTCTCAAGCATGCTGATTACAAACATTACTGTTATGTACCAGAGCGGATGCAGAGAAGCTTTATCCGAGAGAGCAAGCCACAAGACTGAGAAGTGTACGACTGTCACGACTTTATATGGCTGGCTTATTTACATAAACAAATACTATATCATATCATATCATTTAGCACATCATTCCTCAACAATTACACTCTTTGCGTTTTCGCGGAGTATAAGTATACGGCAGACGCACAAAGTATTGAATGTACCAGAATACTGGTGCTTGAGGGTTGCCTGCTGATCACGTTGCGCCTGTTCCGCATGATAAGGTCTTGGATTTTTTTGAATTTAAAGTGACCAGTAACAGGAAAGCTGTTTAACAACATGATGCAGCACGCGACTTTCAAGGATCTTTTCAATGTTTGCAGAAAGTCTTCTTTTTGTTCAAGGCTATCAAATCAAAGGCCTAAGCTTCTCCTTTTCAAATGACTCTGTAGAGCTGTGCCGACGGTATTTGTTTAGAAGATATGAGGACAAATCAACAACAGTTCCAATGAAATGCGGCAACGCGAACGACGCATGCGAAGTCGCAACTTTTTGTGCTCTTATTTCAAAGAAAAAAACCGTGGTTTCAGTAATGATGTGTACTGTATACAACATAGATACTTTTGTATAGAATTAGAAACTGAGTTCTTGTTCCTATCTTTCAGGAAAGCACACAAGTCCTCCTAAGGCGACAAAATTCAGACACTTCGAATTCACTCAGAACTTTGGGTATGGATCTTATCTGACATGCTGATTACAGATGAAGCACACAGTCTACGAATTAAGGCCCCTTTGCTAGCTAACGGCTGAAAGTACCCTCTTTTTCACCGCGCGCGACTTAGAGGTCCGCAACGTGTTGATTATGCGATCTAACGTGACCCCAATAAAACGTTGTTGCAGCGAAAGCATGACCGTAATCAGCATGCTTGAGGACCTTCCAGGCAGTTTTGAGCAACTTGAAATTCTGGCCCATTTACTACACGCCTATCGTAACTCAAGAAAAGAGCGCTGATGCGTGAAATCATTTCAAAACATAGTCGAGCGAATGTCGTTAGTTACAGTTCCTTGAGGTGCCGAGAACTGCGGTAAACGCGAGTGAAGTAGCTACGAATGTAATGCCAGCAAGTCGCGCAGGGTGGAGGAACGACTATCTTAGTTGAGCGCCGTCTCGGCGGACATGTTATCTATCGCACAGCTATAGTCGGCCCCGCAGAATGGACCGGGCTGAAAGCCCGAGAGCGTGTTTCTTACGGACTAACATTGGCATTCGAGCGCACGAGTCATCATAGCGCCCGTACTCGGCAACCGGTTGCAGGCACGCTCGCGTGCGTTCAGCCTACAATGACCAGGCGATTTCGTACAGTCGACTTTATTGCAAATCCTGTTAGGACCAGCAGTCATGGTTTGGTGCCTAAAACTCGTTCCTCTAATCATTTGCGAGAGTAAATTGAAAATCTGTACAGCAGTCAGCCACTCTCAAAGTCTTTTGCACACAGATTATTAAACAGATCAGACCCACGACAAATGATGTGAAATTCTACACTCACTACCGCTAGTACAACTCATTCTTAATTCTTACGTTATCCTTACAAGCACCTCGAAAACTAAACATTGCATCGGTCGGGAATCGAACCGGGCCGCCCACGACGCAGGCGAGTATTCTACCACTGAACCACCGATGCCCGACGTCTTTGACCTCTCTTTATGTTGTCTAGTGGATACTGCTCCTTCTTCAGTGTCTTTATTCTCAACTCACATTTTTCTTCAGACATCTAATACCCTCGATAATTTGTTCGAATTCAGTGGGCCGATCCCATCACTCCACATCATCCACCGCTCAAAGACTTTTAGCAGAACAGGAGTTATTCTCGAACAAAACTCTGCTTCGATTATTTGTAGAAGTGTACTACTACGACTTCGTACTATTCGGCCTTCCCATCCCAAAGTGACTACTTTTCTGGAGTGTAGTAGTTCAAAAAATTATGCACTGTACATACAAGGGCAAAATTTTTTGCTATTCACTCTTCTTCACTTCAAGAATTTATTGCCTTCGAACATTGACGTCATTGAGTCCATGTCCCATCTAAGAAGCCCAAATATATCATTTAGTGTGCAGTGAATAGTGTAAGTCAGATCGTACTTTGTGCTTCAAGCAGCAAGTAGAATAACCGAAAGTGCTGGGCAAAAACTCGATGTTTACGAGATCTTTATACTGCAGTATTTCGAATAAGTCTATGTTGCAGAAAAGACGAGACAATAAATTTAGTGTAAATTGTTGCACACGCGTATTTAGTCCGATTTTCATTGCTCATATTCTGTTTCTTCTAATTTTGACAAAGCATAAAGATGTTACAAATTCATGATTCTAAATAATTTCTAGATTCCATCGTGAATTTCGACCAAATGTACAGCAACTCGATGGTACAACAAAGTATCCCGTGTTCACATGCTCCATAATGACGATGCTAGCCCATTGATTCTCCTTTGACGCACATCTCTGATCTCACTGAAATGAGAAACTTGCTACTGGATGACAACAGCTTCCTTTCATGCAAAAAAAGAGATATAAATCTCGTATTCATTCTTCTCTCATTTGGTTAATTTTGCTACAAGTCCAATTTGATTGAAAAATCTACTTTATAACATACGGGCGCTTCTTGGCTCGTGGTATAAAAGCTTGATCGACCCTCCTACGACTGCGTCTAAGTTCATTGAAGTTGGCCATGACAACCCACATTCTGGTTCAACTTTAACAGATGGTAGAAGCTGTTGAGAGGTAGGTTTTGGTGAACAGTTACCAGAAATACTGCTGTGGCTTGACTCACTCGGCTTGGCGAGAAAAGTCTAACAACTTGAAAACGTAGGGCCCAATTAGGACTACTGATGATGCTAAACGCCCCTATAATGAATCTCAACAATACTTACTTCCCTTTCCAATTCAGTCATCTCATTTCTAAACCAATCACACTCTGCTCTAAGATCTGCACGTTGCTGTTGCTTCTCCTCAATCACTTCAATAGCTCGTCGTAAAATCACAGCACGAGAAGCCTAAATTTGGATTTTGATTGTCTCTAAGTTCAATGACAGACCACAGCGTACCCTTTCATTTTGCATATCTGGGACGACATCCTTAAGACTTGTGTACATGTCTTTGATATTATCTCTTCGCCTTCGCTCCAAGGCATTATGCTGAGCGCGAGCGTGCCGCTTTGGATCTTCCATACCATTGTCCATCACTCCGATCATGCTACCGGTTTGAGAGGAATGAGGTGACTCCAGCTGCTCATCTTGCAAAACATATGACTCAAAACAGTGCTAATCATTACTGAAAACCAAAGAAACCTATATGAAGAAGCCAAATAACTAAATTCACAACTTTTTATTCACAACATATCACAGTCTCATATAGGTTTTTATATATACTTCTGTCAAAAAGGGTAAGTTTAGCATGTTGCTGATTAAGCTTTTTTATGCAAAAAGTTCCAAACAGTGAGTCTCAGTCCAGTAAAAATCATGCTTCTAAAATGCTTCAAATCTTGAACGTGCAACTGTTGAGAATCGCTTTGATTTGATCAGCTGAATACCAGAGACAGAATGTCAGGCTGACCAGTAAAATGCGATCATGTTGTAAGCAGAAATTCGATTAAAAACACAGCGCAATTTCTCTTGATTTTATTCACATTTTGAAGAATCGAATAAAATAGAAATGATCTTCGAGTTTCAGAAATCAAAAAAGGAGGAAAATATCTTCATGAATCACATCGTAATCACTATCGTCGGTCGTCCATTTCTATTCAGTCTGAAACAATAGATTTGATAAAGAAAACAACTTTTGCATGTGAGGAAAAGGTAGATAGTTTCGAACTGTTGCAAAATGATGATAACAGAGAATAATGCCTTTATTGTAGCAAGTGATCAGATCACACACAAAAAATCACGTTCAATGCACATTTGAGACGAAAGGTCGAATCTGAGAACAAAACACCCTCGTCAATAATCAGAAAAGAGTAACGATATAAAGAAGGTAAGAGGCGTGCACCGCACATGTTTCTAAAGACATATCAACCTGACTAGCATTGAAACCTGGTACAATGAGCAATACAGCTAAGATAATATCCTTGAGTAAGTCAGATGTATGTTTTCTTATCTGCCAAGCGTCTATCTGGGAGGAGTTGTGAGAAATATGAAAGGTTTTTCAAATCTCGACGAATATGTTTCCTTGAAAGGCAGCCCCTGATGACGCAAATTTACTGTGGCTGTGGTTATTTCAATCACAAGGAAGAAGCTCACTTACTAAAAACCTGAAGTGTTTTTGAAGCCTATTTCGGGAATATGCGCCATAGACCCGCACATTTCAACGCTCATAACTCCTCCCAGATGATCGCTTGGCAGATAATAAACATACATTTGTAATAAGCGTTTCAAGACGAATCCGATGATATATAGCGTTTTGGTATGGCTGGGTTAAGTTCTGACCATTCCCTGCTTAGCTCAATAAGTATTAGATTGTCTGATTTCCATTCTGGAGCAAACACGACTTTTAATATCTTAGTATCTTTATGAGTTTCTATGATAATCCTACAGTGATGAAAATAGGAACTGAACGGGAAATTAGGTAAAGGAACTGAGAAAAGGGGCAAATCTTACTGCTTTTGAAGGGCGGTAAATGGTAGTAGATGGTAAATGGTAGTAGTAAATGTAGTCCAAAAAACTGGATCAGTCCTTGAAATTAAAATGAGATTTGATCAAATATTAGACTGAGTTTGCTTATACCCTGCAGCTCCCCATGCGCCATATTCAGTAGGAAATCCAAGAAAATTGAACGTTTGACTGAACCAAGAAAAAAAAGAGATTGGGTCTTCTCGACATACCGTTTAATAGCCTTAACCAAAAATAAACTTTTGATGTGAGTGGCATGACCGCTGCAAGCGGAGTTCCTTTTGAATATAAATGATGCTGCTCACACCAGATGCAATTACATACTACGCGCATTCAAAACCACAAATGTCAAAACGCTCTTCCTCCTCTTCGCCACCTATGTGCGGCCTCCGTTGGAATATTGTATTCCTCTATGGTCCCCTTACAAGAAAGCCCAAATTGATGCCTTTGAAGAGTTCAACGATCTTTCACATCTAGAGTCTTTGCCGGGGCTGGAATGTTTCGACTGTCATAACTAGACTCTCCATACTCACCGCGACCTCCCTTTGGCTTGAAAGAGTGATGTACGACCAGGATGTGGTTTTCAAAATTACGATTCGAAGAGTTGAGCTGAGAATACAAGATTTTTTCAAACTGTCAAGTTTTAACAATCTCACTAGAGGACACAACTTCAGGGTTGTAGTAGGAAAAGCTAGAACTAAGCTTCTTCAAATCCTTCTTAGTACGCGTAGTCAAAACTTGGAATGCTCTCCCTGCGGAAGCTGTCACTGCGAGAAACACCTTCCTTTTTAACAGAGAAGTTCAAAAATATTTGAAATCGCAAGGGTCATTCTGATTTTCAATTACAGATGTGGCGAAAGTCGGTGTCCTTTTGTCCTCTCAACAGCAGCGCTCGCCGGCTTTGGTCCCTCTATCCAGAAAAGCAAATCGCACTATATGCTATCTTTTCTTCTCTGTTCCTTAAAAAAAGATTAAAAAGACGTTGGAATAAGCCAAAAGCCATATATTGTTATGTGTTATCATAATATTATTATTATGTTGTTGCACCATATGCTATCTTTTCTTCTCTGTTCCTTAAGAAAAAGATTAAAAAGACGTTGGAATAAGCCAAAAGCCATATATTGTTTCTTTTCTACCTCATTTTCCTTTCTCGGATGAATTATCCACCTCCTGAAAATTTCGTTGATTTTTGTTCGTTTTTCTTTTTCTTGTTCTGTTTTTGCATGTCTTGTTGTCCTTTTGGAAATACTTTTTTATGGGGTTATAGCCAGCTAGCCCCTGCCCGTAGGCTCGCTGGCCTCCAAAAAAATGGGAACATAATTTCTAAGAGGCAGCAAGATTCCTCAGTCAACCATGGATGTACTTTCCTTGCCTCATAAGATACATTTATTGTCGACTTTACCAAATAAATCAAATAAACCAAGAATGAAAACAGTTTTTCTACCACAGATTTCCAAAATGTTTTCGAACAAATGTAGCGTGAAAGTCGAGGACAAACTCAGTAATATCAAAATACTAAAAAAGCATGCCTTTCAACAAAGTGCAAAATGTGGAAAAAACTGAGGTGATCATGTTGCTGTCGTTTGTGTTTTGTTATTGTTAGTTTAATTGCGCTCAGGATCACGTTTGGATGACTCAATTTCTCAAATATAATAAACCAGCCGCTTTCTGCCGCTACGCGGCAGATTCGGCTGTTACTCGGCAGCTTCGCTGCCTCGTACACTTTTCATTTTAATGTATACCAATGTAAGATCAAGTCATTTGAGTGCCTGTTCGTACGAACTACTTCTGTTTATGACCTGTTTAGATCGACAGACCGAAGACATAATTTTGTACCTGCAAGTTTATTGAATCAACATCATAAGCAACAAATAGTATGCAATTAACAACAACATAGAATGGCTGCAACAGTGACTACACCAAAAAAGAAGATGCCAACAACAACGATAAGTACAACAGAAAAGGCCTATGACACAACAACAGTAGCGAAGAAGCATCCGTAACAGCAAAAATCTTAGAGTGTAGAACTTCACAGGACTTCGGTGAAAACGACGTTGATTGGATTGCTTTGGATTGGCGACTTGCACAATGAGACCCTCACGCGACCTCGAACGGCTGAGGGCCACATAGAGTTGACCGTGACTGAAGACATCGGTGGGAAGCCACAATCCAACCTTGGTGAAGGATTGGCCTTGGGCCTTGTTGATGCTCATAGCGAGCGCCAATCTGATGAGGAATTGGGAGCGCCGGAGTCTGAAGGGCAGATTCTTGCCGTTGTTGTTGTGGATCCTCGTAATCACGACAGACTGCCCATGCCGATTACATATTATGAATTTGCATTGTATGAGACGACGGCCCATATCGCGAACTTGTAGTCGTGTTCCATTGTTCTAGCCCGGATGAAACATCCAAGTTCCTAAGCAGCATGACGATGGCGCCTTCTTTCAACTTGAGACAGTGCGGCGGCAAGGAGGAGTAGAGATTGTGTTGAGAAACTCGGTAGTACTAAATTGATTCTGGTCGTTAGCGTCGACGATGACAATTTTATCGTGCGAATAGTAAATCTTTTCTTCACCTTGTATGCGGCTTAGAACTTGTTCGTTTATGGAATTCACGTCGGCGTTCTTGGGGGCAAGGATAGCCTGATCAGACAAATCAACCAATGGTTCGATGCAGTCGCCGTATAGCTCTTGGACTATATCTCCTCGACCCATGATTTCCGTTGGCAGTTCCACTCGTCCCTGGCTGTCATTGACGGTGCCGTTGCCCACACGCAATAGAAAGTCCTTCCAATCCGCATCGCGGCTCGTCACTCGCATATTTTCAGAAAGGCGGACTACTATGAAATGCGGCCAAAGGGAGGACTGCTTAATGCACATGTTTAGTTGGTCTGCTCGCGATCCGCTGCGAACAACCGGTAAGATCTGCCTGAAGTCGCCTCCGAGAACGACCATTTTTCCGCCAAAGGGCTTGTCCACTTGCATGATATCGCGTAGTACAGCATCCACCGTCTCAAAAGCCGTTTTTGGGATCATAGAGGCTTCGTCCCAGATGAACACGTCGTTTTTGGCGAGCAGTCTCGCGTCCTTCATTTGCCTTCTGTGGGATGATGTCTCGCAGTTGTTCAAGATATTTAGCTTGAACAACGACACCGTTGTGCGACCCGATGGGAGCAGGTTGGCCGCGATTCCTGTCCACGCTGTGCACGCGACTTTGCGCCCTTGACCGATGAGGATATTAAAAAGACATGTATAGGTCCACGTTTTCCCTGAACCGCCCGGACCATCGATGAAGAAAAGCTTTGGAGCATCTGGGACATCGAGAGCACCAAGAATGGTGTCAACCGCTGCCTTCTGCTGTGAATTTAGAGTCCCATATAAGCGATTACCTTCGGCTGAGCGAAATGCAATATCGTGCGCGTGAGCGTGGGACGACGGCCTAACGACGGCGTGGGAATGTTGAATTAGCAATGTTGATATTGTTCTTGATAAGTCGCTCTTCAAGATCTCCGCCTTGCGCCACGTGCTCGAGTTCTCTGTGCAATGTGATCTGCGAACTGGAAGTGGAGGTAGGTGCCAGTTCAAACA